AGTTTTGTATTCTTTATACTTCGATCGATCTGACATTATTCAATTCTATTATTATAGTTATGAATTAAAAGGTATTCAACTTATTCATCATAGATCTCTAATATAGACAAATTAAAAAATTGCTTTCGTCCTATATAATTAAGCCATATATAAGAAAAAAATATGAATTAGCATTATTAATAATATACTTGCATCAATACTACTTTTGTTATGAATACTTTTTCCTGATTTGGATTATAAAATTAAATGGATACAATTTCTGATAAGGTTTTTAGAAGTATTATAATAAAATAACTGACTTAATGTATAGTAGTTATATCACTATAATGGTATTCATAAATATTATAAAAATTATTTATATTGAGAACAACTAATCATTCGATCTATTAAAAAATCAAATATAAGTTAATTATATACAAATCAAAGTTTCAAATATTTATATACTTACATTTTCTAATAAAAATCTTTTCACTATCATCATATGTATCCCTGCATTCTAAGCTTAATATCATACAATAGTCTCACATCTTATTATCAAGCTTACATTAGATAAAGTTTCTATCGCTAATGAAGATATCTTAAACACATTTAGTAAAACCTAATTTCTACCTTAACTCTATTAATAAACTTATTGTTAAGATCTGCTAGAAATAACAAAATGAAACTAGTTAGTTCTTATTTTTTTTTAGTTATAGAATTTTTAGCTTGTTGGTTAGTTCTGGTGACTAATTAGTCAAAAAAAACCTTTCAATGTTAGCTCAGATTCTCAAGCATCTTCTTAAATTCTTTTAGGTCAAAAATGGATTTTTTATAATACACATATTGTCTGCCATTAGTTTAATCCCTAAAAAAAAATCTCAAAATATAAAAAAGTGATTCAAAGTACAGCTATGAATAAAGTTATTTATTTACTTAGTTTTGCTTCATCAAGTTCTGCATATACTGTGTGATATGCAGACTCAAGTTCCTAAAATTTAAATTCAGAGTAAAAAATATCACTACATAATACATATAATCTATCTTGAATTCTTTTATATCACTTTATGAAATTCTTTTTTAAGTGGTGACATATAATCAGATAATTTGATATATTCTTGATTATTATCAGTTTTATATAAGCAATGATGACATATTATTACCCCTTATGATAACTCAAAGAATCTGATTAATCATTCTGATGCCTTCTTGAATTTCTTTTCTTTTGTATCACATTAAGATAAACTCTATACTTCAGATGTGAGCATACTTTAGTTTTGGTTTTTTTTGCATTTATTATAAGTTTGTTATAATGTTTTCAGCATAAAGCTTTTCCTACTAAATATAGATATTGGTTAGAATTGATATATTTATTTGCTCAGATACAATAGATGCATCATGCTTTTCATAATTACAAACAACTTTATCCTAGCCCTATAAATCATAATTTTAAGCCTTTCTTTTTCTTTTTTTTTGATCACAAAGAAGTGGTTCTTCATAGTGGGTGAACATTTTGCTTGTATTCTTTACTTTCTAATAATAAAATGACTTATATAAAAAAATTGAGAAAAAACTCTTATTAGTTAAGTTCTGAATTATCATTTCACTTATTGAATTACTTTAATAGTTTATAGAATAAAAGTTAAACTTTAGAAATTTTTATATTGCAACCCTTGCTAATTCATCCTTGTGACTGTGAATTTATTTAAAGTTAAACAATCATTTTTTCATATAAAATTTAATATGTAATGATTATTTTAAGATCAGCCAATTATATTTAAGCCTGCTATACTGTCAGTGATAATATGAACACAATTTTCCTTTTAAGTCAATTTACTTACCTTTTTTATATTAGTTAAATATCATTTTTTATTAACTAAAATATATATTTCATTAACAATAAATATAATTCTTCTTATTTATTTCAGATCATATCTGCTTGCACAATCATATTTGATATTTCTTAATAAATTTTTTTTCTTAGCAAATGAGTATTGGTTAATAATTTTTTAGTAATATTTTAACGTGAATATTTAAAAGAATAGTCTTAAATTAAAATTCAAAGACATTACCTTAATATGTCAATATTATTTGGTGATGGTTTTTTTTATTTTATAGGATTAAAGGTTGTTTTATAATTACATAATATATATATTTATTATTACTTTATTTTCTTTAATATTATTAAAAATAATAATTAGATTTATAGATATTATAAAAAAAAATTTAAAGTTTAATATCAACAGATATATTATTTATATTTTAAAATATAATCTATATAAACTTATATTAATCTATACAATTTATATAAATTTATATTAAAATGTAATTTTTGATATAATAGTTGCTATAAGTATAAAAACTTTTGTAATCTAATATATAAACTTATATAAATTAATACTTAAAATTTTCTAATATAAAATTATTTAAATAAATTAAACCAACAGATCTTAATAAATTTATATTTATATAAATAAAATTTTTAAATAGAAAAATATTAAAAAATAATTTTAAAAAACTTATTTTTATTTAAAATATTAGTAAAGTAAATAGAAAATTTTATAATTTAACAATAACTTCAAACTAATTATTTAATATTATATTTATATTTTATTTTAATATTAAAATATATATAAGAATTTATAAATTGAAGTATGTAAAAGACTATAGTAAAATAAAATATTCATTTAATTTATCTACTCAATATTAAGATGATGCTCATTGATTTTACAATTGCATAAAGATAAAATTTTTTTAACTAAATCACTTTAAACTTAACAACAGTTTCTATTTCTTAGTTTCTATTTGATTTTAATTTTTAATTTTGTTAATTAATATAAAATATTAATTAAAATTTCTTTATTAAAAATATATTGATATGTTTTTTTAATTTAATTTATAATTTTTTATATTTTAATATATTAAATTTAAAATTTAAATAATTAAAATACCTGCTTTTTTTTAATTAGTTGTAATTTATTTTTTTAGTAATTATATTTTTTTGATTTTAGCAGCTAATCTTAATAATATTAAAATAAATAATATATAATATATTATCTTTTTTAAATAATTGTAAAAATTTAACTAATAAATATTACTTTAAGAGTAAATTTATTCATTGTAGATGTGATATCATTACCTCCTTTTTATTACCTGTGTCACACCTCCTATTTTTTTCATTTTTCATATATATTCTAAAGATTTAGAAATATTTTCATATGTAAAACCCTATTTATCACTTCTATTAATGTTACATAATTTAAAGTTAGATTAGAGTTAGAGTATATATATAAAGATAATGTATAAGAAGTATCGCTTCCTATGATGAATAAATTTACTCTTACTTTTATATATTAAGTATTTTATATTATATAATACTAATATAATTTTATATTTAATATAATTTTTATTACTAAATAATATTTAAGTATTATAATTTATGATTTTGTTTATATTATTTTATATAATTTATATTATAATTAGTATTTTGAATAAATTAATTCAAATTATTAATTAAAATAATATTAAATTAAATTAGAAAATTTATTTAAATTAATTTAAAAAAAATCTATATTATTTATAAAACTTAAATTATAAAAATTAAAAAATTTATTAAATTTATAATATTTATTAAAGATATAAATTAAAAATAATTAATAAATTTTATTAGTAAATATTATAATTTTGTAAATAAAACTAAATAAATTATTATTTAACTTGAATAATAATCCTATTTTCAAGAATAATGCATTTTATTATTTGTTAAAAAAAATGATATTTTTTATAAGAATAATAATTAATATTATTCAAGAATGATATTTATAATTGATAATTATAAGATAATTATTATTTTTTAAGAATAATAATTGCAGTTATTCTATAAGATTTATTATTTGATAATTATGATTGCAATTATTTTAGTAAAAAATGATTAATATTATTTGAGAATAATATTTTAATTATTATTTAAAATAAAATAATTATAAATTTAAAAAGAATTTAATTTTTTTTAATTTTATATTAATATTTTCTAAAAGAAATCAGTTAAAAGAATTAAAAAAATCAAAGCTGAAGATTTATATTCTATTTGATCATTAAAATCTAACCAAATTAAATTAATAATCATCATAGAAGATTAGACAATATATTTCTAACAGTCATTTCTTAGATTCATCTTTTATTATATTGATATTAAATAATTAATAAAAATTTTTTCAAAAAATATATAATTACAACTTAAGGTATTTCACTTAGTAGTACTTTTACAACTGATAGTGTTGCTAAAAGAAGCTATTAATATCACATAATAATTGATTTAGTAAAGAATGCTAGACATTAAATTATTTTGAACTGCCTTTACTAGTTTCTATAATCCATTTTATATCAACCTTATGAAAAGTGAATAATAATTTTCTAGTATGTAAATTATTTAACTAAAAAAAATAAAGATATAATAAAGATTTATTAAATAGGAAAATTATTTCTATCACCTATATGTTCTATTATGATTGCTATTTTTAAGTATTTTGATCATTATCTAATACTGTAAGATTAAGATATAACTAACTATATGCTATCTCAGATAATAAACAATCAAAAGAAGCTTGAGACACTGCTAATATGAGAAATTTAAAAATAATAGTAGACAAAATATTTACATAATCGAATCAAACTCTGTGATTGTGAAAGTTATGTATAAGATAAGGAATATTTTAAATTATCAACTTTTAAAATTTTACAAATTATTTTTATAATGGAACTATTAGATATTTTTTGCATTATTTATAATAAAACAAAATCGAGAAAACTATAATCTTAATAAAAGTACTAATATCACTTGAAATGCTACCTCAATAAGTATGCTATTAATAAAGATGTCTATTTATAAGTATTTCGATGCATTAAGATTTTCTGTGACTAATGGATTTGATAATCTTGCATAGGTTTATTAAATGTTAAATTAGCAGGCAGTCTGAGAAATATTCCTGGTGATAATTTTATTAGCTATTAATTTTACATCAGCTTTATTCTTGTCTGATAGTGCAACAAGTATCATCATTTCTCAATCTAATTCTACTAGAGCTTGTTTGATCAAGCTGCTGTTTACTACACCTTTTAAATACTCAATTTTTCTATAATATCTGACTATGCTGCTTTTTTAACTTCATCATTTTGATCTTTATTTACAAGTTAGAAATGGTCAAACTATGTGCAATAATCTATAAATCATTCTTTTTACAGCTTCCTAATAAATTATTAAATATTATCATTATATTACAATTGAGAAATATACAGTATATGATTATTTTTAGCAAATTTCCTTTTTTTTGACTTAATCCTATAAAATGAACAAGGCTCCTAAATCAGTGACAGAATTTGTGTGAACAGCTTGCTAATTTAAAATTAAAATTCTTGCACTTGAAGAATCGCTATTTCAAACTCTATATGCATCTATCTTTATGCATTAGTCAAATGATGTAATTTAAAAGGTTTTATTAGTATTATTAGTATTATAAATATTTATTAATTACATAACTAGTACTTTGCAAAAATATTAATAGTTTCAGAAAAAGCCGTTAATACATCTTCTACACATTCTTTATACTAAAGTAACAATTAAGCTTATAAACAATATATTATAATAATAAAATAAATGATCTTACTTAGTTTTGATCAAGCCATTAATTTCTAAATGATAAAACCTTTTGACAAAGTATCTCTATTATATTAAATTCTTTTGCTGAAATCTAAAATTAAAAACTTTGTTTAATACGTAATACACATTTAGGTTTAATATAAAAATGTTATTACGTTGGTTTTCATAATTTTAATTAAAATCTCGAAAGGGTAAATAAGACTAAGACAATTATTCAAGGAATCACGAATGAGGATTCACAATAATGTCGAAGATTTATTCTCAATAATTATCACGTGATATAAACTCAAGATAAACACAAAGATAACTCAAAGATATTTCAGAGATTACGCTTCAAAGACTCTAAGTTAATATAGCGAATCAATACAATATCATATAATAAGTTTACTAACAATAATTAAAGGGTTTACACTAATGCAAAGGGTCACAGATAAGTTATAACAGTTTCAATGGATTTGTGAAGGATAAGTTTTATACTTAGTTAATTATACTCCTTTATTGATATAATATATAAGTTCAGTACCTAAAAGATTAATATCTTGTCAATGCTGAGACTCAAAGAAAATACAGAGATATTTATACATATTGAATAAATAATAAAATAAACTAAACTAAATATATCGAAGAAAATAAAGTTGCCATTTCACTAGGCAATAAAGTTGCCATATCAATAAAATTACCAGATCTGCAGGTAATTAAATGGACATCTATGATCTACATGATTATTAAAGGTAATAAAATTGACATTTAAGGATTTACACAATTGATCGATAGCAATAAAATAGACAAAATGATCTTCATAGAAGATCTGCATAGCAATAAAATTGACTTCCTATTCTACTAATTAAATCTATCTAAAATTTTACCCATCACAATGTGATAAATCAAACGGAACTAACTTTACAATAGCTAATATAAATAATAAAAATTCAGCATAGTTACAAGTTAATAAAATAACCAATTCTTACCAATTGTTTTCATAAACCAGCAGTCAGACTCAACAATTTTGCTAGTAAACTTTTATTTGATAACTTCTTTCCATTTTTTTGGAAAAATAGAGCAACAGCATTGGTAGAAGCTTTTTTTAAGGATTTTCTGGCTTTACTGCTGGGATGGATTTCCAACAGGAGCTGTCTTCTTAAATGCAAATTCCTTTAAAAAAAGTCAAAATGATTTGAACTATACTATAACATATCAAAGAAAAATTAAATTAATCCAAAGTATGATGCACAGCTTCATTTTTTGCCATAGGTTATCCCTTTAAGTATATTTGCTTTGCTGTTTGAAATATTACTTTAACTTCGACCTTATTAACCATTTTTTTGAATTTTTCTTTTTTATATTATCAAGTCCTTTCAATAAAGTGCTTATTATCTTCTCATGAATGACTTTCACTCTTGTTTCCATTAGATTAAAAGTGGTTAAAATTGTCATCAAAAGCTTTTACTATTATTTCAAGTAAAGATTAGATTCAGCCTTTTATGATGCAAATTTAGTATTTTTTTAATATGACAAGTTATATCATGGATTCTTGATTAATTTGTAGGTTATTGTGTTCCAACCGCTAATATGTCTTCAAATATTGTAACTAAAAAATAAAATTATTAATTAGATTAATAATTGTGAAATCAGAATAACCTGATAAAATTTACACTAAAATACATCATCCAATGTCAAAGCTAAAGTATCAACACATTTTTATTTTATTTTTTTAAGAGTTTACTATCATGTGTATACAAATTATAAAAAAATAATAATAGCTTAATAAAGGATTCAATATAAACAAATAATAAATTGAACATGATTAATTACTATTTGTTAATATTTTGAAAATCTAAACTAAAGGCCAATAATAGCTGTGATTGTAACTAATAAAGTATTGGAATCTGACATTGTATCTTTTATTCTTTTTTTATTAATTTTTTTCCGTTTGATATAATTTTATAGTAACATATAAGTAAACTTTCTCACTACATGATTTAATATTCTCACACTTTTATAATGCAAGAAGTCAATAGTTATCACAATCCTCAAAGTCTTACTAATTTTTGAAGATTTTTCTAATTATATGTTATTTCAAAAATCTATTATTAAAATATTATATATTATCAATCCCATCTTTCTTTTCTACTTCAGCTTCATCACCTATTATATAAATTACAAAATATTATAAAGATAAATCTAACTAAATGCTTCATAATATACAGAATACTATCTTCACCACTGCCTATTCTTCAGCTACTTGTGAACATAATGTAATAATCGTCTCTGTTGAGGCTTTTCTTGTGTAATTTTTCAAATGATCTATAATGAATAATATTAATAAAATCTTGAATTTTAACAATTCGAGAAACTGGGTTCAGAAAATTGGCTTCATAAATATTCTGTATATTTGGGAAATCATACTGTATGTAATCTAATAGTAATAATCAGCTAATATAAACCTTTCCAGAACTGTCACTAGTATTGAATCCAAAAGTTTGGCCCATAAACTGACAATTAAAGCAAATTTAGTACAAATAAAAAAAAGATGAAAAGGAAATCCTAGGCTAAATATCTTGGAAATCATAAAACTTTACTTACACGAATTAGCTTAAATAAATTCATTTCATTTTTACATGTACTTTGATGGTAGATTTCACATTTCTGACATTTCAGAATTATGTCATTTTCTTTTTTACAATAATAAGTATTTAATCTAGACCACAGATATAATTAATTGATCCTTTTAAGAAAGAATTAGAATTTGATTTGCTTTTTTTTAAATTTTGTAAATTAATCTTTGTATATTTTTTACTTAAAAAATTAAATGATATTTTTATGCAAAAAATTATTAAATGAAGTATAATATGATAGTAAAAAAGTTATTTAATAGCAAATAAAAAATAAAAAATACAAATAATAAAAAAATTATTGAATGAAGTACAAGATGACAGTAAAAATGCAATAAAAAAGTTATTTAATAGCAAATAAAAATAAAAATATAAATTAAAAGAAAAAAATTAAAAGGATTTCTAATTATTAAAGATTTTTTTAAGGAAATCCATAATCGCTGTAATAAAAATTTTAAAGGATATAATTAGAAAATTTTATTTGTATACGAATACCCTTAAAATAATTGGCAATTTTAGCAAATAAATTCTAAACATACAGTAGGGTATCAAAAGTCACCAGGCACTTAAAAATTAGAAAATTGACGGAAATTTTGACCTCAAATTAAACTTTTTTTTATTAATTTAATCGACTTTAGTTGAATAAGCAAAGTTATTCATTTTAATGTTTTACATATATTTTAAAGTTTTTTATAATATTTAATTAAAAATAAAAATATTTATTGTATATTTAATACAAAATTTTTGAATTTTAATACAAGATTTCAGTTATAATAAAACATTGAAATTATTAGTTGTAATACATTTTTTGTTCTAAGTAAACTTATTGAGTGTATTAAAATATATATATTTGTCTAAAATTTCAGATTAATTGCATTTATATTCGTTGAGATCGTCTTGGTATAGTGAGTAATGATTATATGCGATATTAATCATTTTTTCAATTTTGAATCAAAATTTTAAATCAAGTTTTTTTCATAACCATCTTATTAATTTGAATAAAAATTTTTTTATTTATTACACTACATTCTATATTTTATATTTCAATAAAAATTTATTTCCAAAATAGTTTTTATAAAAAAAAATGACTACTCAGCGTTGTAACGGGTAAAATTTTAGATAGATTTAATTGGTAGAATATGAAGTCAATTTTATTGCCTAGCGAAATGGCAACTTTATTTCCTTCAATATATTTAATTTAGTTATTTATTATTTATTCAACATTTATAAATATCTCTGTATTTTCTTTGAGTCTTAGTATCGACGAGATCTTAATCTTTTAGGTACTGAACTTATATATTATATTAATAAAGGAGTATAATTAATCAAGAATAAAACTTATCCTTCGCAAACCCTTTAAAACTGTTATATATTATCTGTAATCCTTTGCATTTGTGTAATTCCTTTTGTTAGTTAACTTATTATATGATATTGTATTAATTCACTGTATTGACTTAGAGTCTCTGAAACGTAATCTCTGAAATATCTTTGAGTTATTTTTGTGTTTATTTTATTTATCTCACATGTTTATTATTGAGAATAATTCTTCGACGTTATTGTGAATTCTCACCCGTGATTCCTTGAGTAATTGTCTTAGTTTTATTTACCTCTTTTGAGATTTTATTTGAAGTTACGAAACTAATATAACATTTTGGTGCTCTTTATAAGGATCAGAAATAATAATTCAATACGATATATATGAGTATTCAAGAATTGTTGAGATTAGAAAAGAATATCAACAATATAACCAACCACTTGAAAGAAATTGACATTGAAATCCTTCTAGTAACTAGAGAATTACAATAACAATTGAATATTCTCACTGAACTTCTCAGCTATATCTATATCTATCCTGACATTAAAGGAGAAATTAGAGGATTAGTTATTCATAAAAGAAGTAAATTACCACTTGACATAATCTATTTAGTCAAACAGGAAATCAAGAAAGAATTAAAAGCTCTCAATAACCACTTATTCGATCTACATAAAGACAGAAATAATCTATTAAAAATTAGAAGAGACTTATTAAATCAACTTAGAGATTTCTACTAGTACATGAATTGTGATCTATATAGTAAAATAAGAAAACAACACTCAGATGACCACTTCAAATATTTAGGATGAACACATCTCATAAAATCCTTTGATAAGTCTTGTAGTATTTGTTATCGATCATCTGGAAACCCAAGTGTTTAATTTCAAAGATTCTATCAGTGGATTCACCAACAATATCATACATATACATATTCATCTCTAAGTAAACAATACTTTGAAGAAATAAGACAGTATTTTGACGTTAATAATTCTCATAGTCTTGACACTGAACAAGCAGCGAAATCAGAAATATCTTTAGTATTCAGCCTTGGATTTATGTGTTACTTTGAACCAGAAGTAATATATCAACATATTCTTATTATCTCACATAACACCAACCACTTTACTTATGGAGAAACTCCTCCACCAAATCTTGCAAATATGGCTATGACAGTAGATTAATTCAATGTGTTGATAACACAAATTACAACTAGTATGACTTACAGATTTAATATTATTAATATTCCAGCACCACTTGCAGAGGAAGTTTTATTGTAAAAGTCAACCCTTTTTATGGAAAAGATAGTGAAGATGCTCAAGAATGGATTGAAATATTTTTAAGAGCGAAAGAAGTTAATGGATGGCCAGATAATAGAAGAATAGCAATTGTAACAGGAATGTTAAGGGAAGAAGCAGCTGACTGGTATAATTTAGTAAACACTACAATTAACAGATGGGATGGAGATGCAAACACAGGATTTAGAAAAAGATTCTTAGCATGCTTCTCATCACAAAAAAAATTACATAGATGGCAATATGAATTAATAAATCTGAAACAAGGAAATGAAAAGGTTGAAATCTATGCATCTAGATTTAAGAAGTTAGCAAATAGAGTAGATGCAGAAGGAATTCCAAATGCCTTTAAAGTACAAATATTCTTGAGTGGATTAAATAAGAAACTAGCAACTTTAATTGCAATTCAAAATCTAGCTAATTTAGATGCCACTATTACTCAAGCTAAAACTGTTGAAATAGGAAGATACTATGTAACAGAACATGATTTTAGCAAGCCAAAAGTTAAAGACAATATCAAAAAAATATCTAAACAATTTGAATAAATGGCTCTGAATCAAGTAAACATTATGGCCGCATTAACTACTAACTCAACTGAAAGAAAGAGTTACAATCCTGAAGGCAAACCAAGGAAGGAATTAATCTGTTTCAGATGTGAAGAAAAAGGTCATATAGTCAGACGATGTCTCTCAGAAAAAGTTTTACCACAAGATAACTGAAGAACTAGAAATGGAGATCAAAATAGAAAGGAAGTAAATATGCTTGAACAAGAAGTCTTCCCAGTGATTAAGAGAAAAAGATCTAAATCGCAAAGAGAAACTAATACCAGACGAATTCGATCTTAGATAATTAATGAACCAATGGAAATAATTGAACAAATATCTCAAACAGTAGTAGATAATACTACTAAGCCTAGGAAGAGAATACCTAGAAGACTATCACTTTTGGATAATATTGAACCTTACAACATTTGAGACGACCTTGTAAATATTAAAGCTAATGTTAATATGAGACAAATGATGCAATTCAG